TGATGAATGTAGTGGGTCATGCAAATCTCGGCAAACACATTGTCAGTGCTAAGCACGAGACGCTCGGCCCGGACTGTCGCTGATTTCGCTAGCGAGGCCTACGCTCCTACCTGGTCTCGGATAACAGTTTTGACTGTCTCCGTTCTCTATTATAGATGTAATAGTGAGATTGTGGAAGGTTGTCAACGTAAAGACTCCTTTAAAAGGACTGAGACTAGCGGATGACTTGCAAAAGCCAGTCTACCCTTCTCCATTCGACCGACCCCAAGGTTTCCTTCTTGAACGATTTTTCGGACTGGTTGGAGGAGATGAAGGAAAGGAGAGCGGATGCCTGTAAGTTGTCTGATGAGACACATGAGGCTCTTATTCAGACGACTCAGGCGTTCATTGAAATCTGCGCATATTGCTTTGAGGAGCTCAAGATGTCCTTAGTGCTTCTTGGGAAGTTCCAAACAGACCTTCTGGAAGAACTTTTTGGTCGTTACCGACGACTGGCTGGCTCGCAGTATCATTTGTCCGTAAGACAGATTTACGAGTGCGAGAACAAGTTGCGACTGCAAACCACACTACCACAAATCAGCACGGCGTCCGTAATAGACAACGACCAAAATCCAAATTGGGAAGAGCTCCAAACGCAGGCAGCAGTGCCAAGTGGAAAATTCAACGTTGTTGTGACCCAGGAGGCGCTATCAAAACTGAAGGATGTCATTCCAGTGGTTACCTATGTTGCTGGTTACTCGGTGCACATCGCTGTGAAGAGGTTAAAATGTGACAAATGCAGAGAGCTCCTCCCAATTGACAAGACTGTCGCAGTTTCTCCGGAAAGTCGCATGTACAGTCTTGTCAAAGAATTTGACAGGGGAGGGCTGGTTTACCCAGCAATGCCAGCTGTGAATGCGGTGGCTCATAATTACGTTGTTGTGGAAGAGCTTTCCAAATGTGCCGAATTTTTAAAAGTTCAAAATCAACGTCAAGTGGCCACAGAACTAACACTGCAACTGCTCAGCGACGAGGAGCCTTCAGATTTCGACGTCTGTGAAAAGGGACACGCAAGTGAAGTGGTGCTCAAATATATATTGTGGTGCAGCACGAACATTCTGCTGAAGAACTTTTGCCGGCGATTGAACAACAAAGTTTCGGACCCGGACAACATGTCTAAGAAGCGGAAGCTGCAAACTCTAACAAATAAATGAATAAAATGGCGATGGGGGTAAATATGAGCGGTCTCTTTTGTCTTTTCCTTCCTAATTTTATTCAGTATATTCAGTAAGTACGTGTAGTACTTAGATTCAGGTGCACGTTAAAGAACCCCAGGTGGTCAAAATTTCCGGAGCCCTCCACTACGGCGTCTCTCATAATCATATCTTGGTTTTGGGACGTTAAATCCCAGATATTATTATATAAGTATATTACACGTGTAGCAGCAAAAAAAGTCAGCCAAGCGCACAACTTATGCCCTCTGTAATGCCCTCCGGCGCCCTTAGGGTGTCTCAATAAATAATACAAGGACTTCTGTTCAAGCGTTCCCCCGCTTCCGTCGGCCCCATCCCGGCTACGTCACAGAGGCAGCCCTCCGGCCTGAAAAGAATTTCCTCTAGGTGGTGTTGGGTGTATGCGCTGCCGGGATGAATGCCTAGAGGAGAAAGAGGGGGAAGCGAGCGTAGGTTAGCAGACGCACACTGCGTCGGCGTTGCAAGGCGAGAGAGGGGGAGTGTAGAAGAGGAGAGAGAGTGGGAGCGAACGCACATGCGCAGTAAAGATGGTCACGCCCCCTCCAGATTGAACTCGACCATTAGTTGCTTTGCATCTATGAAAATTGCGATAAGGAAGAGTTCAGGAATCATTTCCGACGCGGTATCTTCGAATGGCAAAGACAGCATAAAATATGCGCTACAGCCTGATGCTATCATGGACGTTAGGTGCCTATTTCATGGTTAGCGGTTTTTATTGTATGGTGAAACTTTGAGAGTGAGATGTGAAACTCGGCTGCATAGCAGGGGTAATAAAAGCTGTGGCAGTAAAATTTGTAAGAAATGTCAAAAATGGACGCATGTTTTGTTGAAGCTGAAATATAGTTTTAAATTGCCTTCAGTATTTTTATTTCTTGTTTTATTTTTAACATATGTAGTTTTTTCTGAAGAACTACCATTTGCAGCGCATGGGTATATTGAACAAAGCGAGATACTAACACTTTACAGAAGGGGACCCGAAATCGTGTGTGTACATGAAAAACTAGATTTGTTTTTTACGTATATTTCTGCATGAAAATTGCCACTTATGAATGATTTTTAATGCGAAAAGTACAAATGCTCCTACGTTAGTTATTCTAGTTTCTCTTATGTACATGTAGAATATTAACACGTGAAAGAATATTTGTTAGTTTTTGCCTAATACTTCCCAAGAAAAAGGGACACAAAGAACCAAAAATGTACCTTTGAGAAACACGCAGAAACCACATAGGGGCGTACCCACAGTTCCTGTGCGCTTGTTTAACATACAGAAGAAATTTTTTTCTAAACAGTGTATTCCTACCTGTGAAAACCTGTGGGATTGAAATAAAAAGACTAACAAACTAATCTGTATCATTATCCTTCTGTGTCAACATACGCTATAATTTTTTTGCTTATTTTTTATTTTTAAGGTACCTTTTATCTAGGTTATTGTCTATTACTAATAAAAAAGATATATAGTTGGTTCATTTTCGTGAGCATCAAAATTTCGTTCTAACATTTGTAACATTTTCATTTTATAACCTCCATTACTCTAAAATAGAACAAGATTTTATCGGACCACCTAATCAATCACCGATCCCCAAGAGTGGGCATGAGCCTCAAAAGAAGGTCAAGAAGAAGAAGAACTCGTTAACAATGCAGAGTAAGGAGGCTTTACTATCGGAGGACCTAATATCGTCTTAATGCAGGAAGTCACTGAAGATGAATAATTCTTTTGCGAGATGATTGGAAAACGTCTAAATAGAATAGAATATTTCGACTAAAAAAACTTCCACCCCCTTTAAAGGTGCCACCACTAAGCATCCCCTTTACCTGTATCTTCTGGCCTATTTCGATGGGTATTCTTGAATGACCTTAGATGCATGCTAAACCACCTATCTTAGTTCGCTAGTTGGGCTCGAACCACGGTGCAAGAATACTTTAGGTGAGTGAACACCGCGAAGCGAGCGCTTGGCGGGGAGGGACTGATTATAAGTTCTCGTTTGCGGCATGCCGATAGATGGCTCGCCGGACTGAGGACCATGGTGGGCTGCTGGCAAATTCCGCAAAGCACATCCGCCACGCGGGCGACGGTTTGCAAATCTGAGAAAACTGAGTTATCGCGCGATAACAACCACGCGACACGCATGTAGTGATGCTGCGAAAGAGGAGCTGATAAGTGATAAGGTTGACAGTGCGGTGAAGGTGTTGTGGTGACGATAAATGAGCGCCGCTACTTTCTTACGCTACGTACGGGTCTTTCCTACACTGACAGGGAGGTGGGAGGTGGGGTGAGCCGGTACTATCAAGGGGCTTTAGCCGGGGCATAGTTTGTAGCGCCGTCTATCGGGCTCCTTGCGAAGCAGAACATTATTGGGCAGCGGTTAGCACCAACGTTCACTCACCTAAAGTATTCTTGCACCATGGCTCGAACCGAAAAAGCACGATGATCATGTCTAAACGTGAACTGACCGGACCAACTCTCTCTTCTGTACCTGAGCGCACCATTCGCACACTCGGAAGTGAGCCGGAGGTCCTGACTTAGGCCTAGCCAGACGCTATGGCCAACGGGGCCCTGGAAAAAGTGCCTTTCGCGTGGTAGTCTACCCGTTGCTTTTCTTTCTCAAAGTTTCTTCTCTTTCGGGGTGAACTAAATTTACATGTCTCTCGTCTACTTCCGGCACATTTCTTGAAACATCTCCGTGTACATTCTTCATACTTTTGGAAACGACTTCAGAAAATACACGCGCAAAAATAGATCATATGCGGAACCCATTACTGGCATATAGCGTTTGTGTTTGTTCTTACCGTCATTGTTCAACCATCTTCTGGTAATTAATTTTGACGGGTTTACTTTTTGCTCAGTTGAACTTAAATTCATGGTTGTAGAAGAAAACTAACTTCGTTGACCCTAGGCGATATATTTTTGTATGCGTCTTTTTTCGGGCTAATGTGTTGTACTTTTATTCAACACTGATTACATCGTCACGCGCGTTTCTTATTTTAAGTTTTGTTTGATTCCGTTTTCGCCCACAAAGCTTGGGTCAGGAATTCGCAGCGCAAACTGCACGCCATTGTTCTAGAAGGGTCGCGATCATTGTAGATCATTCAGTTAAGATTGCGCGCGAGACGCGAACGCTCTAGATTGTTCCAGAGCCTGAGCTACGACCAGTGATGAGGCTGGGATACTCGACAGCACATGTATAATAGCCGCTGGTTAGTTGATTGATGGATATTCGACAACACATGTGTAAATGCCAACGTGCTTCTCCGCTGGTCAGTTTATCAACGGGTATTCGACCACACATGTATAAATGTCGACGTGCTTCGCCGCTGGTCAGTTGATCGACGGATATTCGACAACACATGTATAAATGCCGACGTGCTTCGCCGCTGGTCAGCTGATCGACGGCCGGCGTTCTGTTCGCGGCTATCAGCGCCAGTGTGTTGCTGTATTCTCACTTCCCATATGCCGGCTACAAGTTCGGCCGAATAAACAGTTTCATCTGAACATCAAGTCTGCTTCCTTCGTCTATGTCACGACCCCGTGAATATATGGTACCGTTTGCTTACGGACTGTTTTTGTTTGCTATTGCCCATAGGCCATACATTTCATTGGGCCGCGCACAAATCAAGATGGCTACCGTCAACCTGTCTGCATTTGTCCTCCATCTGCAAGATTTTACTGGCTGCAAATTAAGATTTGATTTCATCTGGTGTACGCGCTGGCGTGCGGTATAACGAGGAAGCGTGCGTGCTGTGAAGAAGCGAACATTGCGTGCAGCTCACCTGCAGAAGACAGTGCGGTGCGATCTCGACCACGATGGCGTTGCTGGGCACGTGCTGGAGGGCCTCGCAGAAGAGGACGGGAGAGAGCAGGTTGTTCACGTGGTACTCGGCTGAGCAGCGCTTGGCGATGGGCTCGCCCCAGCGGCTCTCGGGCACGGAGGAGCTGACCCAGCGCTCGGTTCGGGGCTTAGATTGGGGCACCACCTGGATCACAGAAAGAAAGGGTGTGGTTAGTGAGAGCAAAATGAAACTGGTGCAAACTCCGGCATGTTGCCCATTATGGGGTACAACTCGGAGCCACAAGGTACGGGCGGATGAAGAAAGGAATTGTGGATGATTTCGAGGCAGACCACCTAAAAAGGGTTGAAAAAGGAGTCTTTGACTTACGATATCATACGGTTTCTCACAATATTTACTTAAAGGAACTCTGGCAGTGTCCATGGAAGCTATAACGACAGGTGCTTCAAGCCAGCGCGGGAATTATGGGTAGCACAAGGAGTCGTCTAAGCTTCGTCCTTTTGGCTCCATTTGACTTAGAGCTACGTTTTTGCAAGAATAAATTAAGGATATGCTCAACAATGTGGATGTCATTTGCACAAAAAGAGTATCATAAATACGAAGGAGAGAAGTGACAACACAAGCGATGACTAACAAGTTTATGGTCAACACACATATAGTATAAGGAAAATGCAAAGACGCATAGTTACAGTTAGACAAGTAATCATAAGCACGCGTATTTGCATTTTCTTTAACTACACCTGTAATCATAACCACGTAGAGGAGCGTGTCTTTCTAGATCGAGGAATTCATGTAGGAGAAAGGGCCAATTTCTGGCAAGCAGGAAGGGAATACTAATCAGGGAACAGTGCGTGATGCGGTAAAAAAAATACATCATCTCCTGCTTAAGGTAACCATGTGTAGGTGCGAAGCAGGGGGCGCTGATGCTTACACTGGTGGTGACATTGATGCGGGCGCTCATCGCGGCGTTGCGAAGGAGAGAAACAAACCTGGGGAAGCAAAGCATGCAGTGATGAACGGCCGAATCATAATGGAAGATGCATTTCGCTGCTCATGAGTAGTGAGGGACAGAATACTCCGATTGGACACAGAGACCACCAGTCCGCTTTTATTAACGCACTCTGCGAATTTTCATAGTTCAACAACGCAGAGGAGAAATCTCTCACCAGCGCTACTTTGTAGGCCAAGATCCAGTGCCTATCGCTGAATACAGACACATGTGCTGTATGGCTCCCGGCTCTGTGTTCTGGCGTAGCCTAGCAGGCGGTTGCAGCTGGCCGCCGTCACCACGTGCTCTTTCCGATCATAGAGCGTTTGTATTCGGAGCTGTGTTATCTGTTTTGTCGGATGAGCTCTTTTTCCTCGGTGAAGAGGAATTCCTTCGGCACTGGTATTGCCCTTTTGTGTCGGTCTGTGACGAACTAGTTAAACTTGTCTTTCGACCGGCCTGGTATTGGTAGGTTGATGTATCGGTGCGTCGGCAGAAATGATTGCCAACATGTAAATACACGAAATGTACATATTCATGCTTTATTTGTGCCTTTTGTTTACGTTGCAGTATGCATATGTGTATCTGTCTGTTACGCATTTTTGTGTGGCTTTGTTTATGTGAAACATCGAATGTACATGTTCTTTCCACGTCATCTTACATCCATGTTCATGTAAATGAAGCCTGTTTTGTCATCACCGTTATTGCATGTCAAACAACAAAATGTTCTGTTGGAATGTTATTGACGTCTGTGACAATAAATTTTTCTGGACACAGCATTATTGGTGAGGAACAGGAGCCTTAACGAGTAAGTAGCCAGTTCATTTTCAAGAGTTTTCTCCCTGTGTGTGGTCAAATATTTCGAAGACACTTCCTTCTAAGCTAGATGCAACACTATAAAAATTGGTGAACAGTTGTGCAGCGCCAGAAGTGGGTTTTTTAAATCAAGAAACTCGCTAGCAGACGCTCCCTGCATCGGCGTTGCCAGGAGGAAGAGGGGAGAGCGTAGGATGGAAGAGAGGGTTAGGGTACGCGCATGCGCGATGGGGGTGTGAGCGCCGCCGAGAGAAGTGTCTAGAGGAGAGAGGGGGCAGTGATCTTAGGTTAGCAGAAGCTCCCTGTGTCGGCGTTGCGAGGCGAGAGATGGGCGAGCATGTAGAAAGGAGAGAGAACCGCAGCAGACGCACATGCGCAGTAAGGGTGGTCACGCCGCACACCGGATTGAGCTTGACCCTAAGCTGCTTCGCATCTTAAAAAAAATAGAGAAATAGTAGATCCAAGAAACACATTCCAAACTTCGCTTCGTCCTATTTTATCAATTGGGGAAGGACACTAAATTTTTCGTCTCGTTGTTTACATGCAATCTCTGAGTGCTGCAGGTAACCACTGGCTCCAACGCAATGGCTTCGAGCCCAGATATGGTGCTCTACGTGGGGGCGCTCAAGGAGACACTAAAGAGAGACAATCAATCTATTTAGATTGATAAACTGCGCACTGAAAACTCGAATGTCATTAATTTCGCCACCATAGGTTTAATAATAGAGGGAAGAATAGAGGTGAATGCTACTATTTTAAATTTTGCTCTGGAATTACCACCCTTGACGTCATCGGCTTCAATGTGTGTTGTGTATACAGTGGCTACATCACCGTAAGGAAATTTACCAAAACTTCGTATGTCAAGTTTATGGTCTTCAGAGGAAACTGTAGTTTATTTTTACTGATTAGGAACTAAACAGGATCTAGCAAAAACTGTCAAAATGCATGATGTTATGACGTTTTTTGAGGGAGTTGCAAGAGGTCGTCTCTGCTCGCGTTATTCTTTTGCGTTTTTTTTTGCTTACGAAGACTTTGCTCGTGGTGAAAATGACCATTTTGGAGTTTTGAAAGAGAAATTCACTAATGTCAGAAAAAATATTTTTCTGGTTAATGGGAGGAACGAACGAAGAAGTAAGAGAAAGAACAGGGTGAAGTTAGCCAGAGCCCCCTAGGTAGCGTCTCTGTGCGGTCCCTGTGACGGGAAGCAGCCCAGTTGGGGTAGTCCTACACAGCGTACCTTGGCCAGCACCTGCCTGAGTGGACGTGCGACGGCCTGCATTTGTGGACCGTGGAACGCCACTCCTTGGCTGTCTACCTCCCGGGCGAACACGTTGTCGGCCTTTAGCTCGGCGACAATCTCGGCCACGGCCTCAGCGGGACCGGACAAGGTGACGGAGTCCTCGGCATTGTGGCACGCAGGAATGACGCCGTCCCGGCAGCGCTTTTTAGCTTCCTCCCACGTGAGGCCTGCAGCAGGGACATGACAGTAGCACTAGTAGCTGTGTCAGATCTTCAAATGTACGACAGCACTAGTGAAGTGGTAGTTGCAGCAAGTTGTAGTATCACTACCTGTAGCCGTTACAGTAATAGTTGCAGTAGCAGGAGCAGCACTCAAAGCAAGCGTCGTAATGGTTCGCAGCGACAGTCGCATTTGTTTTGGCAGCCGCAATCCTAATAAAAGTGTAGCAGTGGTATTCGTAGGATTAGCAGTTGCGGAAGAAAGCACTTCGTATTCGGACATGCAATAGTAGTCACGCAGAAATAACATAATCCGCGGCCGCACTCGAAGTTGCGTGTGGGAGGGAGAGAAAGCCATGAAGGCTAATGCGTGTAGTGGTAGTAGTATGATCGCTAGCAATTGGAGGAAATATTTATTACAACGGTCGTAGTAGGAGTCGTTTTATTAGATGACTCTGTAATAAATATAGTCATGTAGTAATATCAGCAACAGCCTAGCATTAGATGTCGTAGATATATAAGTATGGTTATCTACAGCAGCAACTGTAGAAACAGTCACAGTAGCACTTGAGTTCTCCATCAGTTGGCAGTGCTAGCGGTAGTAATAGTAGAAGTAGTAGCAGCAGTAGTAGTAGTAGTAATAGTAGTAGTAATAGCAGTAGTAGTAGAAGTAAGAATTAGTAGTAGCAGTAGCAGTAGTAGTAATAGCAGTAGTAGTAGCAGTAAGAAGTACTAGTAGCAGTAGCAGTAGTAGTAATAGCCGTAGTAGTAGTAGAAGTAAGAAGCAGCAGCAGTAGTTGTAGTAGTAGCAGTAGTATAATATGTGCTGTAGTTGTAGTAGTAGTAGTAGTAGTAGTAGCAGTTGTTGTTGTTGTTGTTGTAGCAGCAGCAATGATACCTGACGTATTAGAGTTGTAGGAAAATAAGAAGGAAGGAACAAGCGGAAACACAAGTTGGTCAAAAGTTCTTGCACTGTTAGCAGCATGCATGTGTACGTGTGAGTGACGGGTGGAGAAGGCGTCAGGTGTTTATTGTAACAGTTGCGGGTGAAGTATCGGTAAAGGCAGCCAGGCAGTTCTGTTAGAGTCAACAAGGTGAACCGTGCGTTACAGCGCTCTCTGCTGTAAAGGACCACAGAGCCATTGATCGCAGTCGATGCCTATCCGCCAGCTCTTCAGCGGAATCACATAAGCCAGCGACAAAATTGACAAACTGCTTAGGGAACTCTTAATAACAGCCGCCTAGCTTCTCCCTTGTTCGCTAGTGAATTAGTCATTGATACGTGTGCCTCGACAGAGGCATCTTTTCGAAGAAGGCCGACAGCCAACCAACCAATGGAGGCCGCAGCTGCAGCTGTATTAAGAGAAGCAGTCTCATCAAGCTCACCAGGTTATTCGAATAACCTGCTCCATCTAATGTATGTCAGGCATAATAAACGACATTACATAAATGTGCACGCATTGAATGGTATCAAAGTTCCCGCGTGTTTATTGGTGCGAGCGTTTTCGAGCTACTTGACAGCTGCTCTGTATAACTGGGTAAGACGACTGTCCGTACAATTTCGCGCTCTTATTTGTGGTGTTCAAAAGAAAATCTGTTGCTTCTGCCAGAAAAAAAGAATCCCCGCGTGCACGTACGGAGTTTGCGCAAACCGAACACATGTGTGGAGTTTGTGAGCTCGTACGTCTAGGTACGAGTGTAAACGCACGAGATTTCTTAAAATGCACACACGAATGCGATTGGGCAGCGCGACGCAGCTTAGCTTCACCGATTAAGTCCGAAATGCCGCGTTACACGGGGCGTGGTCTTGTTCCAAGTGTGGAGCGCTTTAAAGGAGCCCAGAAACGCTTTTTTTAAGTAACCACGGAATGAATTCAGTGGAAATGCTTATTACCTCATGAGTTCAACGTCGCTAAATTTCACGAATCCGTCCAGTGCGAGTGGACTTACAAAGGTTTGTCGCATGCTGCAATTGCGTTCTCTCTTCTCTCGTCCCGACGAAAGCATTGGAACCTAAGCAGGGAGGGATGGCAGGGTCACAGAAAAACTTCACGCGCGCCTAGTGGCCTTGAGCACGTTTTTTTTCTTCGAATGCGCTGCTTTTTCGGTGTTATCGCGCGCGCACACGTGGACAAGTCGTGGCCTCCCGCGGCTAACACTTCTAGTACGCTCTACTACGGCGATCTCTGTAACGAGCGAGCGCGCCATGTTCAGATCAGCCAATGGCTGATAGATGGGTAATTCACGCGTGATTTTTGGGCACATTACGCCATTTGTAGAGAGAAGAGAAAGCAATTTTTAGTTGACTTTGATAATTTATTGTGAACTCCAGGCCGCGTGCTGTGTTATAATATTGGACTCGCGTGTTGTCGGGAGCCTCTGCTACCGATCGGCAGCGTTTTCTGACCATGCTCACAAAGTGTTGCAGGGCCCTTTAAGGGTGAGGTATGTCGTATGCGGACGTATGCTGTCTTCACTCGGTGTAATGAAGGCAGCATGGTGCCCGCACAAAACAGAAAAGTATAGAAGCACGCGGAAAAGAAAAGAATTACAAATAGAAAAATAGGAGTTAATACAGCGTGAAAGGCAGAAAAACGTGGAAAAGAGAACAAGACAGCAATATATAGAAGGATAGAAAGAGAAAACTGGAGAGAATCAAAGGAGGCTGCCCCGCTCCAGAATTCTTAGAAGCATGGCACCACTATCGCAAAGCTGCCAAAATTTTTAAGAGTGAAAAGTGAATGAAAACTTGAAGAGTACGTCACGCTTGAACACTCTGTCACACTAGGAGGCGAAAACCTACTGTTTACTTAGTAATCATTAAGTTATGCGATTGGGGACCACATTTTTTACAGTAATTATTTTTGAGGTTGTTTTTGGGCTCCAACGTTGCGATACACGAAACGACTATGAAATACATCGCGGTGGAGTGCTCCGGAAATTTATGCCACCTGGGTTTCTTTCCCAAGTTCAACCACACGGGACTCAACCGTTTTAGCCTCAACCGCAGGTGTGGCCGCTACGGCTGGGACTCGGTACTTGGACCTGCGGGTCAGTTATTGAGAACCACAATCGCTAGACCACCGTGACGGGCAGACTTTTTCCAAAACGGGGCAAGTCGCAGCGTGAGAGACACGCTCTAAATACATTTACATTTCCAGTCGATGGCATCAATCCTTGGGTGTACTTAGGTGCACGTTAAGGATCTCTGGGTGGCCGAAATGTCTAAAGGCGCTCCCTACGGTGTGCCACATCATCATGTCGTGGTTTTCGTACATTAGACTCCAATAATCAGCAAGACTCGCGCCTTTCATAAAACGGGATTGCCTGCCGCACACAGCATGAACAAAATATTGACATATGCGTTTGAGCTTTGGGTGTCAATACTAGAGGTTCACAATTCAAATATATCTGTTGGAGAATTTTCAGATTACGTATTTATGCATAAGCTGTGTGAATCTTGCATTCTGCTAACGTTACTCGTTGTTAAAAATGTTGTTCAACTTGCCAATTGCACCCATTATTGCAGTGGGTGGCACTGGTGCCACTGAAGGCTAGATCGTGGGCTGATCGTACCGAAACGTCTGAAGGAATGTCCACAGAAAGACTATGCGCCTTCAAAACAACCTGCCACAGTTTGGGAACGGACAGACAACCATGGCGTTACGCTTACCGACTGCAGCCATGGCCCCCTTGGGCAAGTTTTCCAGCTCTACGCAGCGACCTCGCCAGTAAGCGCACAACACGGTCTGCTCTGCAGTGAAGCCTTCGTCGGCATATGCGCAGGCGGTCTCGCCCACGGAGTGACCTACGATGCCATCCGGATGCACGCCAAGAGCACGAAGGGTGTCAACAAGCGCCACCTGCGAACGATAGAAGGCAGTACGATGATGATGATGGTGCTCCTGAAAAATTCACACCTATTCACTCAGGGCAAATGGTCAAGAGTTGGCCGCACCATATAGCAGAATCCTCATGTATCGAAACGCGACATTTTTATTTCAGTACGATGACTGCCGTGAGCACTCGACACAACCGTGACATGTCCCTGCTAGTCTGGCCAATATAGGTAATGCTGGCCATGATGTTAGTCTACGAGTAGTAATTAAGCCGATATGGCACAAATTGAACATGGTGGAAATGAAAGTGCGTGGTTTACGTAGTGCTAAATTTTCGCGTTGCAGTCCTCGAGCGCTTTTCATGTTGTTCACTTTGCCTCAGAGCAAATGGGAGGTGAACATTTTCGGCAGAGGTGCATCTGGCTCCGTTAGAAAAGCATTTGATTACATTGAAATACAGCTCGGCTAGAGAGTGACGTTTTTAATGTGGGAGCGGGTTCCAGAGTGTCACTGGTTCCAGTGTAACTGCAGTGTAGTAATTATGACATAAGGTTAAAAAAACAATGCGAAGATCACCATTTCTATCGGCGGTAACCAAATCCACAACCTTCGGATTAAGCATACGATGTTGTACCGACTGGGCTACGATGGTATACGGTTGGCACTTTACCGGCCAAATAAGTGGGCGTGGATGGGCAATTACGACGTGGATGAAATTACATGGTACCATTCGGTAGAGGCCTTTGTACTGTGCAGTGTCAAAGTGCGCTAAACAGCACCAGAGAGTTGAAATTTCCGTCATCATTCACTACGGCGTCTTTAGTAATTATATCGTGGTTTTGGGACACAAAGCTCGGGGTGTTACTGATGTTATTAGATGCTGCCGCTTTCTAGTCATGTGGGGCTGCCATGAACGTTGTTTTATTTCATAGATTAGCCTAAATATATTCACGCTGCACTTTCTCCTGAATTACCTCGCTTCACGCGTGAAACCATGTACAAGTGACAATCCGAAGCACCTGAACGGAGGTAATGGCGACGAACGGCTGTGCCATGCAGTCATACTGCGGGGCGTCGCTGGTCAACAGGCGAACGAGGTCGATGCCGAATCGCTCGAACACCAGCTCGTGCGACTTTCGTACGGACCGGGCGAACACTTCGAATTGCATCATCTGGCGGGCCATGCCGTTCCACTGGCATCCCATGCCGGTGAAGACAAACCACAAGGGCCGCTTCTCGAACGGGGTCTGCTCGGCGAATTTCACGACGTCCTTGCCGGAGCCGTCGACAGGGACCACGGCGAAGCCTCGGTAGCGGAACTGGTGCGTGCTTGGCTGGCCCACCCGGTTCAGGAGGGCGTACGCCGAATCCGGGTACGGCCCTTCTTCTTCCACCCGGTTCAGAGTGCGCTGCGCAAGGAGAGGATGAGTTGAGGCATAAGAATCGAACGCCCGACTTGCCTCAGAAGAAGAGCCTAACGGTGGCCCTAAGCAATGTATAGATACAGACTGAAAGGAAAGGACGCTAGTAATTCTTCGAGCGGCAGACTGTACTCTGTTTCACCACTTTGTTTCAGCGCTACCAAAGCTATACGGCATAGAGTGGTTACGGGGTGTAAGAAAACCACACGCTCACGCAGCGGAACGTAGTCCTGCTTTGGCGGAATGAAAAGAGAGAGAGAGAGAGAGAGAGAGAGAGAGAGAGAGAGAGAGAGAAGGAGCGTTGGAGCGGGACACACGAAGAAACGCGTCGACGGAGAAACAGACATACGAGAGCCACGAACAGTGTTTGAGAGAAACAGCCACAAAGTGAAGTTATGCACCAGCATGAGATTTTACCAATCATCATCTGAGCAACAAATGCACGCTTCTTCAAGTTCTCGGCGTAGTTGCTTGTTTAATTGCTTTACTGTATTTTTAAGTTAATAAACCAGCCGTAATAACTATAATTTGTTAAGCAGACGCCGTGAATACGGTGGGCAGATGACATGACGCGAATTGAAACATGTGAAGGGGTTAAGCGCCCTTCCTGTTGGCTGAGTGGCCTGTAGCCTCCACAGTTCTGAAGAGAACTTCTGAAACAGAGTACAGGCTGCGCTGAGGAAAGGGACAATGAAAAATAACATAAAAGAGACGCTACACGAAAAAAAACAAAAAGAAAACAATAAAGGTGGACTTTATTGCGATGCTGTTTAAAGTCAGTCGCAAAGCCCGGTTGCCAATGAAATGCGCAACAAGTTTTCAGTGACTCCTGTGCTGAAGCATGGACTCAACCAGTGTCTCAGAGGTCTTGTTTTCGACAAAAGGTGACAGATAAAAAAAGGGCAGCCTGTACTGGTGTTGCAAGGCTGCCCTAACAGAGGAGCCAATGGCCCACCTAGCATATACCTCGGCTTCTACATGCTTGACTAGGTGGTTCCTAGGTTAGGCTTATCATTGCAAGGCTTGGCTATGTGGAGCCTACGGAAGGAAGTGACACCGTAACAACGCCAAGTGAATGAATATTTAGTATTCTATTTACTACTATGGTCGTACTGCAGCATCCTGAATAAGAAATTATTAACGAGTATTGTCTCAATGAACATTTTCAGTTAACAAATTTTCATTAGTAGGTTAATAGTGAGCAAATTCATACTTATCTATACTCCAATGAGCATGATGTCAGTTATAAACTGGCGAATCTCCATGCCCTCCATTTACTCCTCTTCCTCCTGCTCTCAATCAGCAAGTTCTCTCTCTCTCTCTCTCTCTCACACACACACACACACACACACACACACACACACACACACACACACACACACACACACACACACACACACACACGCACACGCACAAGCACACGCACACGCACACACACGCGCGCGCACACGCGCGCACACGGATATATATATATATATATATATATATATATATATATATATATATATATATATATATATATATATATATATATATATATATATATATATATATATATATATATATATATATATATATATATATATATGTATATATATATATATCCTAATTATCAATGTCTCACTGATTCTGCCTAATAATCTTAATTATCAATGTGTTAAAACCATGAAGAAGAAGAAGGATAGAGGTCGCGCCGGCCGAGAAACGCGTTTGAAGATTTAGGCCGATCATGACAATGATGGCTTTTAAATGGGATCATTTCTTTGCGTACGTACTGCAAGCACTTTTGGCGTTTATCTGCGTATCTATCTATCTATCTATCTATCTATCTATCTATCTATCTATCTATCTATCTATCTATCTATCTATCTATCTATCTATCTATCTATCTATCTATCTATCTATCTATCTATCTATCTATCTATCTATCTATCTATCTATCTATCTATCTATCTATCTATCTATCTATCTATCTATCTATCTATCTATCTATCTATCTATCTATCTATCTATCTATCTATCTATCTATCTATTTAGCCACTTACGTCAGCAGTTGGGTGTTCTCGTGATCACCTCCTTAACGTGGCGCGAACCAAAATTAGTATGGGAGGATAAAATGGTCTGATGAACGTGGCGCGCTGGACAAGACATGAAGAATGTCACAATCCCGTCATGTACGTCATCAAACACATCGCATCATAATGTGGCACATACCCGCGGGCGGGTATGTGTCACTGGTATTTGCGAATGTGCCGCAGGTGATTGACATCTACTCAGGAACGGCGAAAACACGCATGACCAACTTTAACACGTGAACCATAAGAAAAACCTGACATCGGCAGCGTTGACACGACGAATGCAAAGAATAATTGTCAGGGTGCCAGCAGGAATCGAACCCAAGCATTCTGCGGGGTAATCATTCTACCACAGAGCCACACCACCTCTTGGAACTACTGCTAAAATAGACGCTATAATGTTCCTGAAACGTCAGACGTGGTTGCAGTGCTTGCTATTCAGTCTTACAAATATTACATATGTACGCCTGTGATAGAGCCGCCATGTCGTGTTAACGTGAAGTGTAGTTAGGCGCAATGCGCAGAAGATGATTTATGTAGCAATGTCCAGGGCTGCCATCCTCACAAGCACCGGCGCTTCATATCAGCTTATCGCTTCTAGTATTGCTAATATTCATGTTGATGTTGGCACCGTAGCGCAAGTGCGAAGATCTTGTTACATAAACATTTGCAACTGTTCAACGTATGACTGTGCGTACAACATTTAGAGTAATTTCATAGCGTGTCACTCAACTGAATAAAAAATTACAACACGGTCACCTTCTCTCCGCATGCTTTGCATAACGTCAATTCGCAAGGTGCGTAGGACCCGCCGAAATTTTAGTTCCCTCTGGACGGCCTAACCTCCTGTTAAAAAAATTTCCCAATAGGCTGTGTCGCCAAACTTGCATTGCTGCATATACAGATGTGTTCTAAAATGACTGACCCGTCATCCACAACAGCACTTTGGTGCCTGTGAAGATGGTGCCGGAACATCTAGTAGTACTGTATTGCTCAAGAAGGAAAGAGAGCGTCAAAAGAAAAAATGCAGTGAACTTAGCCAAGATGAGCGCCGTGGGGAAGGCACTGAGAGATGAACCAACGGCGTGTATTGCACGGCACACAAGAAGCGCTCATTCGTTATGGCGTAAAAGTAAGCCCCCCAAAAAAAGACAAGAAAGTGAACCCCACAAGAGCTTTTCTTGTCCTTATCTCTTTTTTTTTTTGCTCTGTGCTCTTTTACGTCATAACAAATCAGGACGAACTCACTCGCCTCTTCGTTTTGAAGTGCTAACTGTTGAATGAATAAGTTGGTCTAAAGTAGCCACAGAGCTTGGGCCCTCGCTGCCAGTGTTTGCAAAGATGCAGGCATTACGAGAGGCCTACTGTGGCTGTCATGCATAAAGACATTATATACGTGCCCGCCATAATGGCGTCGCGATTATCCCTCTAACCGTGTTCAAGAATCAAGATTGTTTTTTTCCCCAACATCATAGCTTGGGGGTCACCCAAAGCGAAAAGCGATGAAATGCAGCTTGTTGGTGCCTGGCGGCTCATGCACAATCGAGCGTACGCAAGCTCATTTAGGCTAAGTAATCGTATACGGGTGCTCCATTAGCAAAACGAAGCACGCTAGCTGTGGCCAAGCTACGTAAAAATAGGGAGCAACAGGTGGTCATGTAGGCTCCCTATGCTAAAGCGAATGCCAGCGCGCTCCGTCGGAGAAGTGGTTCTTTATTTTCATACGCGAACGGGCCAGAAGGTGGTACCGTCATTTCCCTTTAATGATCCACTCCCATGATGGAGCGCGCTCGCATTCAATTTCGCGTAGCTTGGCCACCACTCACGCTCTTTAATTTAAATTTTTGACCCCAGTAAAAAATAGTTAAACAATAGTTGTCTAGTCTTTATAATTTGGTCCCGTGTGTTCCCCCTTTCTCCATGTAGGTGTACGTTGTAGCCTTTCATGCTGTCGTGCCATTAGCCCAACAAGCCATCCTCGAGTGTCTACTGTAGATTAGAAAGTGAGGACACAAAGAATTCTTAAACGTAAGACGCATATATATATATATATATATATATATGTATATATATATATATATATATATATATATATATATATATATATTTGTTTGTTTATTTTTTCATGTATACTAAAGGCCCGAGGGCATTACACAGCGGGAGGGTTATTAGTATACATACATAAAATTAACACAAGCACAAAAGTAATAAAAGGTTTGAAAAAACTGAATATCATCGTGCAAAAAAGACAAAAAAACATTGAAATGTAATTCGAAAAAAAGTACATAAAAATTTAATTATAAGGACCACCTGCACTAAAAGGAAAACAAGAAGGACGAGGCTGAACATTTTTCGCTAACACAGTAGTCAAGTGACCGAGCTATACAGTGAGCCAGAAAAACTACGATGCCCACATGTAGTACACCTGATGCAGTTGTATAGGGTTGGTCAAACATGAAGATGAAGGTACTCTACACATGTGCATGCAAACAAGGTGACTCGACTGCGGTATCCGCATCTATGCGGCTGATGTGCGCTTCCTAGTTGCCGTTAACTGCCGCCTGCTAGAGCTCTCAGCCAATGAAAGGAGGTGCGTTGCAACCTCGCGGACCAATTGTAGCTTACGAGGTCTTCTTGTTGTTGATGCGCTGGAAAAGTACGCAGGGAACCGGTAGCGCATACAACTTCGCCGCAAAAGTATTTGAAACGAATCTTACCTCGAGGGAATCTTGATTTCTCCCTGCCACGAGAACGAGTCGGGGCAGCTCGGGCTTCTCGCGCGGCAGGGTGTCCACGTGCGGCGACGGGTTCGCCTCCAGGATGGCGTGCATGTTGGCACCGCCGAAGCCGAACGAGCTGACGCCCACCAGGTTTCCGGGCAGTGGAGTCGTCTTGTCGACAACTTCGATGCTGCCGTCGTGCAGGGACGGGATGTTGGGACTGGCCTCCCTGAAGTGCAGGTTGGCCGGGATGACTCCGGTCTCCAAGGTAACGATGGCCTTGGCCATCGAGCAAACACCTGGGGACAAGAATAGGATGTGACCGAAAAACGTCCGTGAATATTTAATTGATACGTTGGGTCTATCCCAAAACCACCATATGATTGAGAGACGTCGTAGTGGAGGACTCCGGAAATTTTGACCACCTGGAGTTCTTTAACGTGCACCCAAATCTGAGCACACGGGCCTACAACATTACCGCCTCCATCGGAAATGCAGCCGCCGCAGCCGGGATTCGATCCCGCGACCTGTGGGTCAGCAGCCGAGTACCTTAGCCACTAGACCACCGCGGCGGGGCTCCGTGAATATTTAATACGCTGGGCAAGAGAGATGTTTTAAAATGCTGGAAGGCGTTTTCAGTGAAGTATTTTTACTTAGGAAATAAATACCCACCAACTAGCCTTTTTGGAGGCATATAAGTACTTTAAAATGCCAACGTTATAGGGTAAACATTCCCATCATGTACAATTGGTTGATCCAAGAAAGCAAAAAAAAAGAACTCAAAATTTACTACGCTGGCTTCTAAAGTGTGTCGTTAAATATCAATCCTATGGAATACCGCCAGCGCAGAACGAAGAAGTGACGTTTGTGACAACAGCCGTTCTTGAGGACAACTTCGGCTCACCTGAGGCGCCCTCGGCATGTCCCATATTGCTCTTCACGGAGCCTATCTTGAGGGGTTGCTCCCGGCCAGGTCCGCAGAATACGCTGCTGATCGCTTCCAACTCCTGCGGATCGCCAGCCTTGGTACCCGTGCCATGCGCCTCCACGTATCCGACTTTCTGTGGATCGACTTTGGCTTCTGTGTACACCTCGTGGAGAAGCTGCTTTTGCACCTCGGCCGACGGGAAGGTGATTCCTGCAAGCAAGTTGGAGAAGTCGTGTTTCAGTTCAGGCGGTTCAGGTGCAAGTCTTTGCCTGAGCGCGCAGAACCTTGATCTCCACACAGAAGAAGGGGACGTTGTTCGACGGGCTCGATTTCTTCGTTAAATTTAACCAACGAAACCTACAGAAAGTTGAGTCAGGCAAACCATAATGGCATTAATTAATGTTTTCAAATAATCCGCCGTGGTGCTGTCGTGATTACGGTGCTTGGTTGCGGACCCCTAAGTTGCGGACCCCTAAGTTGCGGGTTCAATGGAAACAAAATGGCGGGTGTGTACCTTGCGATGTCTGCAGTGCAAGTTGAAGAACAGAAGTTAGCCGAATTTCCGGAGCCCTCAATTATGGTGCCATTCATAACAATATTGTAGTTTTGGAACGGAAAACCCAAGATAATGTTGTTTTTTAATTGTATAGTAACGATTACTACCTAAATAGAAACAATTAAAGTGGTAGACAAAGGACCTTTTATGGTGGTAGATCATAACCGTAAACGTTCAAATTTCGCGTTCCTATGCTCAACCAATGAAGCTCCGATGTAGGTCAACTACGTCGCTAACTTGCTGGGTATTAATTGCGTTCACTTTTCCGAAAGGCGGTGATTGTGGGACCCTGTTGTTGCCATAGGGTGGCGTGTGGATTGTGAATGTTCTACAAGGTGGTTATTGACCAGTAAATATGGGGCATATCGCCGAAAATATCACATTTGAAATTATTTTTTTTCAGATAGGACACGTCGTCAACCCTTATGTACTAACACGGTCTCCTGCTTCATACTGGGTCTAAAAATATTCTTGCGAGACAGTGGTATCATTCACATACAGTCATATGCTCACCTGATTTACTTGCAGCATGCTCCGTACTACTATTTTTGTACAATGAATATCGGTCCTTGCCCTGTGCATGTCCCGTCATGTTTAGACGACCATGGCATAGACTATTTTACCTGAGCCATATGGGCGTTGCCGTCTTGGACAGTTAAGGTAATGTTTTCTTGTCTTGGTATATGGCGATGAGAAATATTTACGTATTGAAACATTGCATGCACGAACTGATCCACTGCACACGTGTGCGTCTATCGGGACGCTGTTTGTTTAGTTGTTAAAGATGCAAAACACAGAAGTTAACAACCCAACATGGGGACACTGGAAGACCTCCGCAAAGTAGTCTATAGGCATGCCATAAAGCAGGCTCATGTAGAATACACTAAATATTTGCAGCCCCGACCTCAATAGAGCTCTTAGACTGAGTGACTGACGGACTGGATGCATCATCGAGGTGCTATGAATTCAGCATGAACAGCGTATAAAATGGTTGCCAGGTCCCTGTATAAGTGCGCGCGAACGTCAGCGTCTCAGACGCAGCTGTGAAAATTACACCTGGCACATGACGTCGCCTACCTTCGGTCTTGTAGCCATCCGTGTTGGTCTTCACGTTGATCAGCTTTGCGTAGATGCGACGTGCCTCCGAAGCACGTTGGATGAAGAAGACGCCAACGGTTTCACTTCGGACGTATCCGTTGCCTGCGTTTAGGTTAAGGTGTGAGTTTGGGCAAGCTTTACGATCCAAGAAGATGCGATTCTATTGACCGACTTCAAAGCTTTCTGTCTTTTATGCTCGGAATGAACCTAATCAGAAAATATTGCAGATGTGTCTTGAGCTTACTAGCAAATATTTTATGCAAAAGCACACACAAAAAACAGAAAGGAATAATTGCAGAATCACGAGATAGAGAGTGCTCGATACTTTTCTATTAATAGTTGAAATTTATGCAAAAAAGAGCACATTATCTTCATTTCTTGTTTTCCAATGAAGTAACGAATACCTTGGAAGTATGTTGAGTGAATTTTCGCAGCAAGGAAGTAACAGCGCGAACACACAACCGCAAGGCGGACGACATGGACACACAAGCGCTGACTGCCATCTCTGGAGTTGTCACTGAGCGCTTATGAGTCCGTGTCGTCTCCCCTGTGGTTGTGTGTTCACATTTGTGTGTAGCAGTTTTGCTACTTCCTTGCAGTGCAGCGAACCAACTCACCTCAAGAGAAGTATTGATGAGTGATCTTTACACATTTACACAGTACGTCGTATACCTCACGCCCCGAGGCCATAATGTAACCCACCTTCCGAGTCAAACACCTTGCACTTGCCGTCTGGAGACAGCATGCCCAAGCGGCTGAAGTTGAGCGACGCAGCTGGCTTGAGGGTTAGCATGCTTCCGCCTACGATGGCTGCCTCGCACTGGCCGGAGCGAAGTGCGAGCATGGCCTGGCTGAGGCCCGTCATCGTAGACGAGCACGCAGTGTCGACGGTGAAGCTCGGGCCTGTCGGCAAAGTAGTTAAATAATATGATTACAGTGCTACTGGAAATCTCCGTTATGTACAGAAAAGTACCATGAAACGCCCTTGCGAAGATGGTTGCTCAGTGAAGCAGCAGATGTGTTAAGCCCATCAGAGGGCAAACTAGTGGAACACCGATCCCCTAATGTGCGCCTGACGCCTTTTGTCTTCGAAGCAGTAGTTCAGCGGGAGACGGAGGCTTGGAAAGGCGAATATCCTTGAATTCGGTGCGTACCTGGAGCTAACGCTTCCACAAATGTTGCGTATCCTTCAAGATTTGTGCCTATAGGAAAGACTGATAATATATGATGGGCTTGAACGTCCCAGAACCATGATGCGATTTCGAGAAACGTTTATGTGGAGAGATTCGGAATTTTTGACCGCGCACTTGGGGTTCCTGAACGTGCACGTCAGTCTAAGCAAACGCACCTTAACGATTTTGTTTATTTATTTATTTATTTATTTACTTATAGATACTGCGGTCTTTCTTCAAGATTTTGGCAGTGTGGTACACAGGTGAACTCAACAGAACAATGGGGAACTAACATATGAATATCTTTAACACGCGCTTTCGAGAAAGGAAAAAAAAGGCAAGCTACGTTATTCTAACAAATTTCAAATCAGCAAAAGTGAAAAAAAAAACACATGGAACATCTCAGCTAGACAAGGAAACTGATTACTATTGAAGGTGTGACTGAAGTTGCAATAGCAAGTCTTGTGTAACAGTTGTATCAGGCAGTTTGTTCCAATTGACTATCGTTCTTTGAAAGAAAGAGTACTTGTAACAGCTGACACGTGTAGTGATAGCAGTAAGGGCTAGTGAGTGTGTGTGCCTTGTAGCGTAAGCCTTCGTATATGAAAGATGTGACGTGTCTATCTGGTACTCACCTTTTAACAGCATGGAAAAAGCAATTTTAGTCGACACACACAATTTCGATTACTTATAGCAGGTAGGCCACTTTGAGATACAAGGTTAGTGACCTGACAGTGCGGCCATACGTATTGTAGATGATTCTAATGGCCTTTATCTGCAGGCTTTCTAATTTTGCTACGTCGGTTTTAGTGAATGGGTCCCATATAATGACGCTGTATTTTATAGAACAGGACGGACAAGTGTTTGATATGCCAACAAACATATTGCTTGTGTGGACGATTTTAATACACGCCTTAAGAACTGATTACGCCTGCAATTTGCTAGCACTTTGTTAAGGTGCTTGGACCAACACTGCGGCAATTCATGTTAAGTATTGCGAGGGGCCTGCTGGTCATATCAAGTCAATTCCTTTTAAAAATTTTGAAGCGTTTGTCTTATCGAATCTATCAAGAATGCGACCGGGAGTCGATCCCGTGACCTTTGGCTCAGCAGCCACAATCCACTAGGCCACCATGGTGGGTCACGTTTGAAGGCGACAAAACCGCTTTTCGAAAACTTGGCTACTGTGAAGCATCGATTTCAATAATATTCATCGTTCCTGAAACGGTTGTTATAGCGCGAGCTCAGAACGACGACAAAGGACAGGAGGACGAGCGCTAACTTCTAACGGAGTTTATTGTGCAGAGCTTATTGAGTTTGTTGGACAGAACGAAATGTGCCTGAACGACCGACTATATACTGAGGGAACATGCTAACAATGTGAAAAACGGGAAAAATGTGTTGTTTTTTGCGCAGCATTGCACCGCGTGCAACTGTGCGCCTCTTTTCGAGGACACAGTGCCTCTGTATACAAGGACCAAGATGAATGCACCCGAATCATCGTCCAGGTCACGCAAACGGCACGCGAACAGCAATCCTGCGTTAGCGAGCCATCCTCGTCGCTATCCGAGAAATAATTAAGGTTCCTCAAAAGTAACGACACACGCAAATAGTCATACTTCGTTTAGTCCTCAGCATAGTTTCCTTAGAATTATTTTTTAGTTTTTTTTGCCTTACTCGTCTTACTCGACCTAGGAACACCGCTGATAGTTGCGTCGGTGAGTGAGCTTATGACAACGTATTCGTCGGAAAGGGAGATAATCGATCAGCGTTTACCGTGGAAGTCGAACGAGTAGGAGATGCGATTGGAGAACATGGCCCTGCAGCACCCGGCGAGCGCATATCCGTCGATCTTCTCGGTGTCCACGTTCAGCGCTTCCAGCATCTCCGAGTCGGAGGCGCCGATGAAGACGCCGATCCTGCGTCCGCGCAGCGTGGCCGGGTCGTAGCCGGCGTCCACGATCGCCTCGTACGAGGTCTCCAGCAGGAGACGCAGCTGCGGGTCCATCTTGTGCGCCTGTTTCGGGTGGACGCCGAAGAACTGGGCGTCGAAGCGGCTCAGGTCGCGGATCTTGCCCAGCCTTTCGGGAAGGCCCAGATGCCCTGCCGGCGAAAACGAACGCACGCAAAGGTTCGACGCAAGCAAGATAGTTGGGAAGCCTCTATTTAGGCAAACAGAGACACCACAGAGACCTAAGAACTCTACACAGAGGGGGATACACGAGAGCAGAGCCGTATGGGGAATATACGGCTCTGATCAAGGCCTTTCATATTGTCCAAGAGGGGCCTCCACTATGAGAAAACAAACAAAAATAAGAGTATGCGTAACTCATACCAGTGAATTCTGACTTGCCACGTAAAGAACTCTATTTCTTTTCCCTATTAAAGGGGCACTGAAACACTTTAAAATAGAAAACAAGCTTGTGGTGCCATATGATACGTAATTTCATGTGGTGAACTCAAAAATCAAGTAACAAACTTGCGTAAACCAACGAAAATAACTATATTTTGCCGAAAAAAGCAGCAGGCGCCACAGCTGCCATCGCGAGTCTCGCCGTCGCTTGATTGGTCCAAGCTCTATGACGTCACTGTGAGGAAGTTAAGGACAGCTGTCTGCGCTCGCCGGGAGTCATGTGAGTCAAAGTCAAAGGGAGTCATATGAGTCAAAGGACCCCCTTTTTTCCTAAATTGTAGTTATATAAGCCACCCTTCGTTTAATGTACAAGTATCTAAGGTGGCCTTTCTCAAACGAAGACGTGAAATTTAGACGACCAAAAGTGCAAGACAAGACAAAGAACATGGAAACTCGTCTTTACCCTGTCTTGCGCTGTTTCATCATTCAGCTTCAGCACTTGCCAAGCAGCCCACTTCAAAGCGCTGGAACGTGAAATGATTGTTCTGATCATCAGCGTGGTTTCATCTTATATCGACTCTCTTGGTTAATCAGGAATAACTGCTTCATAAATACGCGTTTTACTCGATGAAACATGAGGTTTTCTACAGTAGCATGCTCGTCTATTTGTATTTCGTGGGACAGGAAGAAATGCCCTTGAACTAAATACGGAATCATCGCCGAGAGTATCTATAAAATAGTGAAACAAATGTGCGTTATACCAATACACTTTCCTTTATGAATACGTAATCACTTAAGAGGACTGCAAAACCCGGAATTTTCGCCTACGGTTACTTCATCCTCACTGAGACCCCATCGCCAGACCACCATGATTGAATTACCCGAAACGTGCTCTTCCCCCTTCCCGTATTACCACATCCAATCGCATGTAACAATAGTTTATTTCACCCGTAAAACGGCCTACAACTCATAGTTGATCCATCGCGATGCAGCAAAATTAATATTATGCCAGCATGCCGACCATGGCCGAAAGCTCTTCAGCAGCTTCGTCAAGTTCGAATTTGATGGCATTGCGCGAACTACATCAGGACTTTCCGGCCCATCAAGCCATGGTCTGACGTGTCAGGACAGAGGCAACGACCATTGGCATTAGCAAAGTGAGGTGTTGGGCTAGTTCCACTTCTTTTTTTGTCTCCTCCCTAACTTCGTTTTCCGCAGCAATTGTAGCGCAGTTTTTCCCAGGCCAATGGCATCCCTTAATTCACCTGGTATTGTAACTGCATCAGGACCTTCCGGCCCATCAAGCCATGGTCTGACGTGTCAGGACAGAGGCAACGACTAATGGCATTAGCAAAGTGAGCAGTTGGGCTAGTTCCACTTCTTTTTTTTTTGTCTCCTCCCTAACTTCGTTTTCCGCAGCAATTGTAGCGCAATCTTTCCCAGACCAATGTCATTCCTTAATTCACCTGGTATTGTAACTGCATCAGGACCTTCCGGCCCATCAAGCCATGGTCTGACGTGTCAGGACAGAGGCAACGACCAATGGCATTAGCAAAGTGAGGTGTTGGGCTAGTTCCACTTCTTTTTTTTTGTCTCCTCCCTAACTTCGTTTTCCGCAGCAATTGTAGCGCAATTTTTCCCAGGCCAATGACATCCCTTAATTCACCTAGTAATGTAACTGCATCAAGACCTTCCGGCCCATCAAGCCATGGTCTGACGTGTCAGGACAGAGGCAACGACCAATGGCATTAGAAAAGTGAGCTGTTGGGCTAGTTCCGCTTCTTTTTTGCATCCTCCCTAACTTTGTTTTCTGCAGCGATTGTAGCGCAATCTTTCTCAGACCAATGTCATTCCTTGATTCACCTGGTATTGTAAGGAAGCAATTCCACTAGGGGTTGGTTACCCGAAAAACCTCCCTGTAGAAACCGCTCGGCAATATTTCACCACCACCACCACCGCGATCAAGTTAAGACGTAGCTGCTGAGCGCCGGACCCGCCATGTGGATAAAACCATGGTCGCTAACTGGTTCGGTTGTCCGCGAACCCAGTTATCACTATTTCGCGTCGGACATTAGCAGTGTTTCGGCTGGGCGCGCTCCGAGGATCATCCAAATGTGCGGGGCGTCATCCAAATGTCAACTAATTGACTAGAGTTTGATGCCATTAAGCAGTGTATACGCTGGCCGAAAGCACAGAACCCGTCCGAATCATCCGGTTTCCCGAATTAGCTATAGGGACGAATCAACGAGCGTTGACTGTAGTTCTTGCTTCCGTGCTGAGTGCCAGACTGGAAGTGCACTTGCATTTATTTTACAAAAAAGCACAAGGTGTTCGTTATTGTTCGCTTCTCACAGTAATGGTGGATGCTCCACACCATGCCTCTGGTGGCTGTGATAGCAGAAACTGGCGCCTAGATGCAATGTTTTGTCAAGTTATTGCAGCGATTGGGCCACCCTTTGTGTGCTGGTACGATTGGTCAAATAAGTTATATAAAAACAAAGAGATTACGTGTGTCTTTGCACGCATAGAGTTTCCTACAATACTTGCAAGAGGGAACTCTGGCGCTAGTGTCTATGGTGGCTGCAACACACGACGCTTCAGCGAGCATGAGAATGATGGGTAGTGCACACATTTGTCGTACTTCCGGCCTGCTTTTGGCTCCGTGTGTGTTCGTGTGACTTAGAGCTGTTTTCTTACGAAACAAGTATTAGCAAATGTTCAGCGGTTGCGCTTCACCATATTACTTTTTTAGACTTACTTTCCAAATCAGCTCACGAAGTTCTAAAGGGTTCAATCTTTATTTCAAAACGAAACCGAAACGCAGCAATAAACGAAGCCGCAAGTACGATTCGCCGCCCGCAAGTACGAAGACTAGGCAAATGTGTGTACTACCCATCATTCCCATGGTCGCTGAACGATCGCAGTGCCAGAGTGCCTGCCCTCTAGTTAACTTTAGGAAACTCTATGTTTGCATGCATCATCATACCTCGAGGCCAGCGCGTCTCTTCATCGGTGACGAAGTCCACGCCGGCGTAGAGCTTCTCCTTGAATTCCTCTATGTGGTCGGCTTCCGGAAAGTAGGCCGAGATTCCCGTCACCACGAACTCCTCCTCCGCCATTTTGTGTCTGCGAAAAAGAAATGACCAAATACGCCCAACCAATTTGAGTAATTCAACTCCGATGTCCACTCAGTTTAGCTTCACATCACAAGAGCCATTACAAAAGTCAGAATAGCGATGCTGTGGAGTGACAGCAAAAAAAATCATTAAGGCTTGACGAAGCCTTTCGCACCATTAAGCAACATAGCAAGAGCAGTGTGAAAGTATTAGCCGTTATAAAATATGGAAATATTTATTTCACAATCAGCTCGCTTTGCGTTTTAAAACACGTAAAGGAATGTTTAATATTAGTAGCAGAATAAATGTTTTATTCTAGGAAATTCTTTAATGTTACTGGCAAAGCTAATTGTTTGCATTGGGCGAACATGGTTTGCATAAGGTAATTTCCATCATTAGTGGCGTATATAATACTGTAGGAAAGTGAAAAAGTTGATTAATGCTTCCGAGTTGAACATGAAGGCTTTTGAGCCAAAAAAGAGAACACATGTGATTGATTGATATGCGGGGTTTAACGTCCCGAAACCACCATATGATTATGAGAGACGCCGTAGTGGAGGGCTCCGGAAATTTCGAACACCTGGGGTTCTTTAACGTGCACCCGAATCTGAGCACACGGGCCTACAAGAACACACGTGGGCGACAGGACAGCCCCTGTCTTGTCTCTCCATCTGTTCTTTAGCGCAAAGATCGCCATGTAATGTAATCACCAACTCGACCGACAAGCTCTTACTAACTATGCTAGGTTGCAGTTTGCGACTCCTCACAAAAAAAAGAAAAGAAGAGAAATCTGGCAGCGTCTTCCTATGGGTGACAATTTTGGAGAAATACGGAGGTGGCCAGCCCTCTTTGTTTTTCTTCGGTGCTCTCTTTTTTTTTTAATGCGGAGCGTTTCTTAGTCTCACGATGTCACACCTCACCCCGCCGCGATGGTCTAGTGGCTAAGGTACTCGGCTGCTGACCCGCAGGGCGCGGGTTCGGATCCCGGCTGCGGCGGCTGCATTTCCGATGGAGGTGGAAATGTCGTAGGCTCGTGTGCTCAATTTGGGTGCACGTTAAAGAACCCCAGGTGGTCGAAATTTCCGGAGCCCTACACTACGGTGTCTCTCATAATCGTATGGTGGTTGTTGAATGCTAAACCCCACATATCAATCAATCAATCACATATCAATCACATATGAATCATATCAATCAACTTTTGCGTCGACGACGCCGTCCACACCTCCACTGCGCAAACTCGTGTCTTGTGCCGGCCCGGGAAGACACCCACAGAACCGTCGCTCCAGGATCAAATAAAGGATAAGACCCCAACGGGCGTTCAGCAAGCCGAGCATGCGCAGTGGGAATGCCGACCTCTCCACCGCACTCCTCTATCTCGAACGCGGACGGTGTATATATAGGCGGCGCAGCGCGCGTATGGAATTCAGTATATAGGGCGTATTTACTTGGCTTTCGCTTCACTTGACGCTTTGCTTGACTCGAGTGGATGCGATGGAAGCAACAGTACCCTCAACTAGTAGTGGGGCACAAGCCAACACCAGCGTACCACAACTCATTGAAGGCAACCCTACTCCTTCATTCAATAAATAGGAATCATCAAGACGAAATGACATATAAGCATTCCCAAACCATACCCAATTACTCAACATTCAGTTAGTTACCCTTAATGACCAGCAGCTATGCTGCTTACGTGCTACATGCCCACCCATGTGCATTCCCTCTTCTTGATTTCGACTATGATATACTTAACCCCGGTTCGTTCCCTGATCCACTCTGCCCTCTTCTGTCTTCTAATGTTACACCTGCCATTTTCCTTTCCATCGCTCACTGCGTCGTTCTCAATTTAAGCTGAACGCTCTTTGTAATTGCGGTTTTTGCTACTTAGGTGAGTACCACCAAGACACAACTGTTATATACCTCCCTCTTGAGAGTGGCAATCTACCAGTCATGATTTGAGAGTGCTTGCCGAATGTGCTCCACCCTGTTCTTATTCTTCTAGTTACATCAATCTCGTTGTTCGGCTCCACGGTTATTACCTGTCCTAGGTAGACGTAGTCTTTTACAACTTCAAGTGCACTGCTACCTATCTCGAGGCTCTGTTCTCTTTCGAGGTTGTTGTACATTGCTTTCGTTTCTTGTATATTAATTTTGAGACCTACTTTTCTGCTTTCCTTATCTAATTCAGTAATCATGAGTTGCAATTCGTCCCCTGATTTACTCAGCATTGCAATGTCATTGACAAAGTTCAGGTTACTAAGCTACTCTTCATTAACTTTTATCCTTAACTCTTCCTATTCTAGGCCTCTGAAAACTTCCTGTAAGCACGCGGTAAATAGCATTGGGGATATTGTACTCCCTTTTCTGACACGCTTCTTGATTGGTAATCTGCCGCTTTATTTCTGGAGCACTATGGTGGCAGTTGATCCTCTGTAAACTTTTTCCAGGATGTTTATGTATGCTTTGTCAACGCCATGATTCCGCAGTATCTGCATGACTGCTGATATTTCTACGGAATCATACGCCTTCGTGTAACTTATTTATTTATTTATTTATTTATTTTTTATAGATTTATTTATTTATTTATTTATTTATTTATTTATTTATTTATTTATTTATTTATTTATTGTACCCTCAAGGCCCGAGGGCATTACAGAGGGGAATGAAAGCATTGTATAGTGGTTGGCTGTTTTCTGAGCCTTTCTATATTACCTGATTGATAGTATGAAGTTGGTCGATTGTTGAGGAGCCTGTTCGAAATGCTGCTTGTTTCTTTGGTTGATTGAATTCTAATGTTTTCCCAATTTTTTTAGCAATTAACTTTGCAAACAGCTTGTATACTACGGAGAGCAAGCTGATCGGCCTGTAATTCTTCAAGTCCTTGTCATCTCCTTCCTTATGTACTGAGATGATGTTAGCATTCTTCCAAGATTCTGGTACCCTCCCCGTCAGGAGACACTTCGTAAACAGGGTAGCTAGTTTTTCTAACGTAATGTGTCCTCCAACTTTCAGCAGATGAGGCTTTTGTGTTTGAGGCTTTCATGCTTTGACCTTTCGTAACGAGGTTCGTCGTCTCCTGGGACAGCTTGCTAGTTTCCTGTATAAATACCGCACCTCCAACTTTCACTGCACACTCCGTAATGATACTCGTCAGATCAACATTCATTTCATCAGCGCTAAGGCTGGTTTCCTCGATAATAGCAGGTTGTCTGTTCTGAAGTGAGCTTCTGAATTCCCATACTTCCCCTCTCAGTTTTATGTCATTGATTGGCTTATTGCGTATTAATTTCTGTCGTTCCGGCTTCAAGTATGGCAAATTCAAGACCGTACCATTCTATGGTTACTGCATCGTACTGTATAGTATTCCTATGTTACCAGCTATATTTCTGGGGATAAGGAATTGCTTTCCCTGTTCTGTTGGCAAATTAACAATAGCAAAGGACGTGCCCATGCTGTAGCGCTGTACAGCCTCATCTGCACTCCCTAACCTCACTGAGCCCTATTAGCTCCCATTTAACAGCCTCTAGCTCCTCGAATAGTACAGCTAGACTTGCCTCACTAGATAAGGTTCTAGCGTTAAACGTTGCCAAGTTTAGGTTCCAAAGGTGGCCTGTCCGGATCCAGGGATTCTTAGCACCCTCTGCTGCGTTGCAGATCTAACCGCCACCGTGGTCAACTGCTTCGCAGCCGGTGGGGACTGATGGCCGTGGGTTAATTGACGAATGCATGTGGGAGGTACGGGCCAAATACTGCACCAGGGTGGCCAATCCTTCTCTTGTGAGGGATCGGCCACCTTGGCCAATCCTACAATTAATCCACACAATCTACAAAATATGTAATAAAGAGTGCTAAATAATGAGGATGAAAAGAACGGGAAAGTGTAATGTTTGTACGCAATGGCCACGCAACGCAGCGATCTACCGGAAGTGCTGCGCCTGTACTTGATTGTAACATGAGCAAACTAGACGCCTCCGCATACATCTATTCGTGTGTGCTTAGAACAAATGTTTAACAATGTAGAGTGCGATGTACTCTACTATGGGAGAGCAATGAGCGCTCCCACTATACTTGAACGCGCAAATGAACCTCGACAAGCTATTTCATTTAGAAAAAGTTCTCCAACAGCTGCCATAGAAAGTTGGCGGCGGTGACAAAAGATTTATTTATGAAAGTTATGCACAGAGAGTTGGGGAGCTGTCATAAAGGGCCGTCCCGTACATACACTGGGTGGGCTCCCCCTTGCAGGACGCCATTGGCGTCATGTGCGAAGACCTACTAGACCGTTGCATACTTATTCTCATGCCGTCAAACACTTCCAGAGTGTTTCTAATTCAGAGACCTTTGTGTCGCATCTTTTAAATGGGAAACATTAATGTCCTATCAAACTTTGTCAAAGATTTTGACATTTAGGCTCAGCCAAACGGTATATTTTAGTCAGCAACGAAGAACCTTTAAGTTCTAATATGCGTAACATTTCCATTAGGCGAGAAAAAAGTACACTCTGTAGCGAAATTTAAATAGTGCGGTGGTTTTTCCCCATGTGATGAGCAAGCATACGGTGGTTTTGGGGCCGAGAAGACAATTCACCATATCTCGTGAAGTTGCATTAAAAGGCAAAACAAACTCATTCGCTTACAGCGTGTGTATTGAATAGAACATTCTTTGGAGCAATGGGAGAAACTCTTCGCTAGCAATTGCTGGAGTGGAAATGATTGCGCAGAAGTGAAACCGTTCCTCTGGCAAGATGGTGGTTGTGGCGGCCATCTTACTAGGGGCATGATAAAGTATCACCATTCAGTGATTAAAAACGAAGCGTTTCCCTCGCACGCCCAACGAGTTTAATGTGGGAATTTTTTCGGGTCACATAGTGCTCCAAGTGCGCCTTACAGTTACTAGTTTTCCTTAGTGAGCCTCTTATTGGAGGCAAAGTTCTTTGAAGATTCAGTTATCCATACTCGTTTCTGCGTGTTATTTCGTCGGGAACAACTATCGTTAATATAGAACTAACGTAGC